CAGCAGTCTTAATTCTGGCTTGGGTTTCTTCCAGTCCAGACTTTTGCATGATGTATTCTGCATATAAGTTGAATAAGCAGGGGGACAATATACAGCCTTGTCGTACTCCTTTCCCAATTTTGAACCAATCAGTTGTTCCATATCCAGTTCTAACTGTTGCTTCCTGTCCCACATATAGATTTCTCAGGCGGTAGATATGTGGTCAGACACTCCCATTTCTTTAAGAACTTGCCATAGTTTGTTGTGATCCACACAGTCAAAGGCTTTTGCATAGTCAATGAAGCAGAAGTAGATGTTTTTCTGGAACTCTGGCTTTCTCCATAACACAGCGTATGTTGGCAATTTGGTCTCTAGTTCCTCTGCCCCTTCAAAATCCAACTTGTACTTCTGGAGTAAATCACACTAGAATAAGTCAATTGAATCAGTGAGAATTTGGTTAGTCAGCTCCTCCATAAGTTCAAATGGGCCTACTTCAGTCATACTATACATATAACTTAGTATAGTAAGTTGCAGTTAGAGTAGGCCAATTTGAATCAATGGAATTTATGGAGGCGTTAACTTACCAAATGCACGTTGATTCAGTGTGCCTATTCCTATGTGATTTACCATGCTAAGCAACAGGATTTTGGCCATTCATCTCCAAGCTGTGCTTCAATGCTACCGTTATGTTTTGTCATGAAATTTCTGAAATCTATGATCATAAAGGCTAACTCAGTCATGATTTGTGAATGGAAAAGTTAGGTACCTAGGCAGGTAAAAAACAATCTTAGAAGAAGTGTTTTGCAGAAAAGAGCAAGGAAAAAGTGACTAGGGAATGTCACAGATTTGGAAAGATAGAACACAAATGATATATGGTTAAGAGACTTTAGTTAATCAGTTCAGGAAAAATCATGTAAAGACCCATATGGTCTCTCTCTTTTGGAAATTGTATGTGCATTTTAATCTGTGCTTTGTTTTTAATCCACCATTTCATGAATATATGTACAGTGATGCCTCGCAAGACGAAAATAATTCATTCCGCGAGTCATTTCATACTGCAAAAATTTTGTCTTGCGAATTTTCCCATAGGAATGCATTCTGATGCATTTCCCATGGGAATGCATTGAAAAAAATTCATCTTGCGAAGCATGGCCATAGGAAAATTTGTCTTGTGAGTCACTAAAAAATTGCAAAACACTTTCATCTTGTGAGTTTTTCGTTGCACAAGGCATTCGTCTTGCAATGCATCACTGTATTTGTATATGTACTTTTTAATTTGCTAGCTTGTGGTAGTTGATTGACCAAAGGGGTCAAACCAACAATAAAGTAAGACTTTAGTTAACTAACCTGCTTGCATGTGCAACAACCTTCTGTTGGATCTTTTGTCTTTTCCTTTCCCTTTTCTATTCTGTTATGTCCTTTAACAGTGCCGACTTGATATTTGAGGCCAGTTAGCAAATAAGACATATTATATTATGTTCTGTAGGTGTTTCACTGTAATTATTAACTCTAGTTCTGGAGCAGTTCTATTGAAAAAACATTCCACTGAAGGTTCAGCCAGCCAATTCTGTTACACAGCATAGCCCTTCCTACATCAGAAATCAAATTTTGTTCTCTGGTTTTGAAGAAACAAAGATAAAGCAGTGTTAGTAAAGGTTTAAGAAATGAAACTGCATCCATGAATAAAGTAAAAGAAAGCTGATGGATTTTTTTGTTGTTGCAGATGTGGCTCACTGGGATTTTTTTTTTTTCAAATATAGTGATGCCAATACAAAATTCTATATAAAAGTTACATGTTATATGTTAAAGATAGCTTTTACATATTACATGTATCTGTGTAATATATAACATATGTTAAAGATAGCTTTTACATATTACATGTATCTGTGTAACATATAACATACAACTGTGTAACTTGCTCTTATCTATAGTTTTTAGCCATTGTATTTTGTTTTCTTGAAATCTTAATTCTAGAAAACAGTATGTTATTTATTTTATTTCCTTGCCATCTACCTTGCTGAAATATTTTTGAAAAGTAAAAACCTCCTGATATATCTTAATTATGGCCAGGGAGTGGGGAGAGAGAGATTGTACTCAGTCTTCACTAAAAAGCCAAATTTCGCTCGCTCTTTCAAAGGGAAATGGAGAAAAGAAGCCGCTATCAGAGGACTCTTATGACAGCCCACCTTCTGCGTTATTCTCAATCAGCATCTTCATTTTCACACATGCGCTTTCTGGCGGTTTGAATAATGAAAGCAGTGATGTCTGTTTCCCATGCCTTTGATTCTGCCCCTCATTATTTTAATCCCTTTTCAATCTGTTCTGGAGTTGGCCCAACAAGGATAAGCAAATCCCTTCGATGGAGTTCTTAATTGATATTTCTTCAGCTCTCCTCAACAGTAGCTATTTTGGCATCCAGAAAAGATTTCGTGTCATCCGAGTGGTAGAAAATATATTTTAATCTTTTCACAGCAGCGTCATTTCAAAGACGTAGCATTTGGGGTGGCAGATGGGGTGGCAGAGAAGTTGCCTAAAGGGGCAGGGCATTGATCTAATCGCCGCAGGAACTTTTCAATTAAAAGATGAGAGATTTTGCAGTTTTGAAGAATTATAGCAATGCATCTTATCAATTGTTCAGCATTCCTATTGATACGGAAGGTTTAAGAATGTGCCAGATGAGTACAGATCAGTACAGAATTTAAAAATAGGTGTGAGAGAATCCACTTGAGAAATTACCATTGTTATCTTCATAAGGAGAGAACATCGGCACAATGATTATATTCTGTGCTCTGGCACGCTGGGATGGTTTTACAATGATGCTTTATTAATTCATGCCTATGTAACCTTGAAATTTCACTATTATAACACTTGTTAACATGTGCAGCTGCCCTTGTAGAATGTTCAGAGAATTCAGCTAAAGCAAACACAATAAACTATTATGTGCCATCCAGTAACTTCCAGGACTATGAATTAGTTGCCTCTAACAGTCCTATTATTAACAGCTCTGCCCAGGTCTTGCAAACTCAGAGATGTGGCCTTGAGAGGCTCTAGTATAAAATAATCCTATCCCACTAAGTTTAGCTGAGTGAAAACCAATCACTTTCCAAACATATTCAAATGTCTTAATATTGACCTTTATGGTCATTAAATAATTTGAACAGCTTAAATTTATTTATTTTAAGTTTTCTACTTATGATATCTTTCATTTCTACTGTCATCTTAGCGTGGTTCATTGACACCCCACACAGACACAAACACACTTGCAGACTGCCTGTGTGCTGACAAATGCCTGGAGGTTAAGCCTGGAATCACAAATATTGGCCTTCTTTAACTTCATACGTTCAAGGACCCATCTCAAGTCATATGAACCTTCACATGTACATACACATGCTCTTTACCATTTTGCAAGGTACATACATTGTGCAGGCAGGACCTTAAATTCAGTGATTCAATGGCAGAATCAGAAATTCAGTCCTAGTTTTATCTGTCTTCCCCCAATACACAAACACATATACATACTGTACATACGAGTGAAACATGTTAAATGGCTATTCTCGGTGACTGAAGAACTCCATTTACACAGAGTGCACATTCCCTAGCTTCTTTCAAAGGCATACATACTATACACGTAGTTACATATGCTAATTCCCATCATCATGCCTTCTTTACCTTGTTACTCTGTTATTTGCAATCAAATAATTCTAAGAAGTAACTTTGATTTCTTATTCACCAATTTCATGGAAGTGTTAGTCATGTTAGTCTGCTACAGTAAAACCAACAAAAGATGTTGGAGACCCTAAAGATCAACAAGTTTCATTTGTCATAAGTTTTAGTGAGTTGTTGCCTCCTTAACCATATGTGTCATGTGTATGACTATTATCTTCACCATTACTGGTACAACTTTAAATCCACAGTTCACGTGAGTAGAGCAAAAACATGCCACCTAATCTCACAATAGGAACTTAATAATAGTTTCTTGTATAAGTATAGATTATGTAACTCTGGTAGTCATGCATAAAAGTGACAGTCGCATGCTAATTCCTCTAATGGTTCTCTCCATGAGCTCCCTGGCCCAATCTGTTTTGGAAGGAATTTTCAAATATGCGATCCAGAGAGCACGGAAAAGTGATTACCCCAGCAACATCGCTGTTGTAGTCCAAAACAAAGGACAAACTTTGGTGAAGCATCTCTGTAGAAGTTATTCTGTACACTAGGAGTACCCTATTAAATTTCATCTTTGATTTCCCTTGGTGTCCTGTAAGCATCACTAAATGTATGGGCTGCATGAGATGTTGCTACATTCAGCAATGATGCCGTCTAATCAGGCAATGTAAGTGACATAGCACTTCAAAAGCAAAGTACCTTTTGCTCCATTGGTTGAGAACTTCAGGTACTAATTGCAGTGGGGGGAGGATGTTATTCTCCAACTCATATCCTGCCATGGAGAATCAGTTGTACAGTTCATATTAGCAGTAACCAGAATGGCTATCATCCCTTTGAATGTATGGATTGCAAATGACTACTTTGGTTCATGGGTGTTTGAATGACCTATACACTTGTTTATGCTCTAATAGTACCATGTGAATACCTGTGGAAAGGGAGAATATGTGTATTTTGCTTACCTTTAATAGGAGTTTTAGTAAGAGAAATTCATAATGAAAGCTGTGCAAGTTATGTGGTGACATTGAATTTTTTCTATCCAGTGCCTCGGCAGCCACCAAGAAGAGAAGATTCTTCCTCCACTTTGATATTCCCACAGCCCACAGTCTGCTCTGGAGGGTTGCGGAACCCTCTTGACCAGAATTTTTGTATATATATTTGGGGCTGTGAGAAGACATGAATATGATGTTAGATGTAGCCCTGTGTTTTCCATGTTGGATTGGGATGTGTATTAATTTATTTAACCTTCTACAAGGTTATATATTTTGCATTTGTCTTAAATATCTGTCTTTTTTATTGTCCTTGTTGTCTAGCTATTCTTTTAATTGTATTTGAAATCAATTCTCTCTATTTCCATTCAGGGCTGGTTCAGTCCTGGCCAGGTGTTTGTGCTAGATGAATATTGCGCACGTAACGGAGTCAGAGGCTGTCACAGGCATCTCTGCTACCTCAGTGATTTGCTTGAGCGAGCAGAAAATGGAGCAATGATTGACCCCACCTTGCTTCACTATAGTTTTGCCTTCTGTGCATCACATGTTCATGGCAACAGGTAAGGGGACATCTTTGCCTACATCAATGTCGGCAGAGTCCCTCTCTAAAGTCTTTTTTTTTTCCTTTGAGTAATGGACTACAGTCCTGAATAGCTATGTTCTTCTTGTTGTGTATCTGATCCACAACGTATTTGAAAGTTGTTTTGATTTGTTTTGTTTCTGTGCTTGTTCAAAGTAGAAAAAAATAAAAAAGGATAAGTACAGTTTCTTTGTACTCACCTTGAAAAAATTGCTTTTTACTCAACATGGAAAAAATACAGAATGGTGTGAATATATGGAATGTATCTTTAATGGTACCGCATTCTGTTTACTGCACATTGTTTTAACACAAATCAGATAGACAGACAGAAGCAACAATGTCAAGGCATTGTGTTTTTATATAATTAACAATGCAGAGAGGATGATTTAATTGCTGAGGATTTAATATGTATAAGTTAAAGCATTAACAAAAGTTTATAAATGAAAATCCACTTTGTATTTCTAAATTTTGGCCAAAAAATATTACCACTTTTGATGGTTTGTTGTGAATAATCTGTGCATTTCATTTAATTCAACATGTGTGTTTCCAGTGTATTTCAGACAGAATTTAAATTATTTGAATTATTAGTTTCTCTTGTAGTCCTTATATTGAATGAGGTAGAGTGAAGAGGAATTAACTGAAAATCTTCCAGTCACAATGTAAGAGGAAGAAGAGAAAGGGAATGGGGAGCTGTAGTGGTTTTCTATTTTGCTTCAAGGGTTTAGTAATGCTTCTCTCAGTTGCTGGATAATCCAATATAGTGCTAACTTCTTCCAGCCTTTTTAAGACTCTGTGTCACCATAACAGACTGTGCATGACTTGAGAAAGAGGACTACCTACTCCAAAATTTGGAGTGAAATCCTCTCAGACCAGAAGCGTCTCATCACTTCTGTTAAATGCTACATTAATACAGAACTACACAATCTGTATCAATATGGTCAACAACTCCACATGGAGGCTTTATTGATTTTCACCATCTACAATTTCATAAGTAGCTTCATAATTTCCGGTTTTCCAATTACTGTAGTTGCTGTAGTGGATTACACTGTACTTTTAAAAAATATATATTTTCACCAGTTGGCTGCCATTAATTTGAAACTCACTGAGGTCTTTTAGAATAGATAATACTGAAAGCATTGCTATTATATGTGTTTTTTCTATATAGATTTCTTGGTATTTGTTGCCCTGATGCTTTTCTTTTTGGAAGTTGCATTCTATACAGTGAGATATCACACTCTGTTCTACATATGTTACTGAATAACAGAGTGTTATAAAATAATGAATTGTTTTTGTAAGCTCTCTGGTAAACATCATCATGAATTATTATACACATTGCTGGTACTCCACATTATGAGGCTGCCACTCAAGTCACAGCCTGTTAGATCCATCTTGTCAGGACAACAATGTTTGGTTCTTCTTATTTTCTTTCTGATTTCACATTTTCTTTACTTTTGTTGTTGTTGACTAACAACTGACATTATTTATTTCATTTTAATTTGTATTATTACTATTATTATTATCTTTTGCTCTTAGCTTGTTTTCTTTCATTGCTTCTGTTATTATTTCGTTCTTTCTTTCTTTTTCTTCTGTTTCTGCTATCCTACCTTTCTTTGTTGTTATTGTTCTTTGCGACCATCCCTGTTATTTCCAAAGTCAAAAAATGGAAGAAATAATTGGCAGCATACTGCCTGTTCCAAATAACCCCCCAGCAACTGAAGTAGAGCCAAAAAAGGATTCCAAAAAGGAGTCCAAAAAGAGGAAAGATTCAAAATCCCAGCCACCTCCAGAGCCCAAAAGGTAAGATATTGTAGATATACATCATTGTACTTCACTGCAGGGTTATTTACTAATTATTGGTTTAAGTATTCTAGTACCAACCTCTTATAAGGCAGGTTATACCATACCTTCAGACAGTCTGAAGAAATGGACTTGTCCATGACAGCTCCTCTTTAAGGTGTCACAATATTTTTTTCATATTTATTTACTTATTTACTTTTTTGCCTAATATGCTAGAACATACTAACACAGCTGCCAGTTCTAAAACTTCCCAACATGGCATCATTTCCTCCTCCTCCAAATACTTGATAATTAATCATTACTCTTTTTTCTTTTTTTGAGCTAGAAAGTGAATGATGCAAGTTTAACGTGTAGTTTGGCCCCTCAACTTTATAAATTTGAGTTGACCTGGGATGACTTGAGATCAGTATAATCAGCTGAGAAAAACAAATGCATAGTCATCTGTCCATGAAACCTATCACTATAATGTGTTGTTTGTGTGCACATGCATTTATTCCCAGTGCTAGAATCTTGTGGCTTAGCCTTGAAGTGGAGTTTATGGTTTACAGTTTGTTCCATAAGCATATCAAATTACTCACAGTAGCTAACACAGAGCAGAAAAAGGCCTCTCTCTTTTTGTCACTCAAAAACTGCAGCCAGTCACATTTGGCAACAATGTTCTAGACAGACTGCTGGTCTGGCAATATAAAAGGCAAGGGACCGAGTTTTCCTTCCTTCTTTAACTGATTGATGGTGTGAATGAAGAAGATTTCTTCTCCACCATTTTGTAGTAAGGCACTCCAGTTCAGACTCAGATCATCCTGTATCATGAAGCACAACAGAATGATGGTGAGCCAACATCAGTGTTCCAAAATATTTGATTTGTAGATTTCATCTTTATTTCCACTTGTAGATTTTATAGGAAAATTACATATTATAAACAATATAATTACTGGTTTTGCCTTATAAAGTTTTCTTTCCTTCTTTTCAAATTATGTTTTCTCTGATAAGAGTAGATACGTTTAATTTGATTCTTAATATAATTGTGCATTAGTTCATTTGTGTTTTGAAGGCAAGTTTAACTCCCCCCCCCAAAGCTCACACCACGAACAAATGATAGTTTAGCTTTCTGTGAAATGAGGTTGGCTGTCAGTCAGAATATGCCACTCTAGTAGTGAAGGTCAAAGAGAAAAAAAATCTATGTGGCTATCAATCTCCTGTGTAAGCGATAGACAGTGATGGAGCTGAGGTGGGTTGTCTGTTTGTATTGTGTTTGTGTAAGGTCAGACAGTGAGACAACAGTAGCTTGCAGTCAGTGAGAAAGTGCAGGGAGAGTGTGATTCAGATGGTGCAGGACAGCCTGAAGGTCAGGACTGACAGAATGACAGGCCATCATAGGAAAGAAACTAACTAGATGCTGTCCAGGGTCCTGCTTCATGAATACGTCTGGTTATCTGATCAGTGTCAGTGTAGGACAAGAACAAAATGGCTGCTGTTAGAAATACACCTCTAGCTCAGCTGTGACCCCTGTACTGTATCATGTGAAATATCTACCAAAGAAAAAAGAGCTTTGCTCTGTATATTTCCAAACTTTGTCACACTGATTTTGTCAATTGATTGCTTAGATGTTTCTGAGAAACAATAATGTGTTCTTCAGTAGATAATCAAATTCACGTGCTTTCTATTTTATTTTTAAAGAACTAAAATTAAAATGTAGATAGCTGATTGTGACGTTACAGCATTAATTGTATGAATATGTCTGACATACGTAATGCAGTTTCTTTCTTTAGACATTATATTTACGCTTTACTGACTTCAAATTTTACTAATACTGTACTGTATTTGGGCTAATCAATCCATGAACAGACAATATACTTAAATAACAAGTCACAAAAGAATCATTTAAAAAATCGAAAATCTGGAATAAGTCAACACAATAAAAAGAGTGCTTGCATGTTTCTAGAAGGCCAATGAATTGTGATTTTGACTGATTAGGTCAGGCACTGACATATAATGTTACATGCTGCATTGTATGTAAGCAGTTCATTTGCATAATAGCAGATACTGTTATGCTTTGGGCATAATTCAATCTATGTCCCTCCAGTGAGACATTCTCTACTATGAGGAAGATTCCAGTGGGAGACCTCCAATTTCTTCCCTACAGCCAGTTTGTCTCCTCCTGTAGCAAACTATTTTAAACTCCCCATCTAATCTGCTCCGTTAACGTAATCCGATTTATCTTCCTCCTCGCCCGCCTGGAGTGGTCTGGTAGTCCAGATAGGCGGGGTACAAATCAAATAAATGAATAAATGAGTGAATGAGTGAATGAATGAATGAATGAGTAAGTAAGTAAGTAAGTAAGTAAGTAAGTAAGTAAGTAAATAAATAAATAAATAAATAAATAAATAAATAAATAAATAAATAAATAAATAAATAAATAAATAATAAATAAATAAATAAATAAATGTTTTCACTCAAAATGTGCCAGAACTACCTTAAAGGATTTGTTACTTGTTGGGTTTGTATTAGTGCCCTGCATCCTTCTTCCCTCAGTTTTTCACTGAGACTCTGAGGGAGAAGAGTGCCCACACGACAGTGTGTTGTGCTGTCATGAGTTGCTGTCCTAAGACATATAATAGTTTTGCCATGAGTTGGTGTCCTAAGAAGTCTAATAGTTTTACTTAGGCACACCTCCGTCAAAAGAGGACTCCAAGAGTTGCTCCATCACCTTATCATACCATTTAAATTATCACATCCAGTTGGACTGCCAGTGCCTCTCAGTTATAGTTACTAAAATAGAGCATCCAAGTTCCAGTGCAACTGTAAATATCTCTGTTCAGGAGGACAATAGTGCCTCTATATGAGTTTGTGAGAGTAAGCTTCCCAGCATTTGGAAATTTAGTCCCAACTACATGGATTTTCATCTGACGGAATAAAGGCTCTTAACCTGAGAGAAACTATGGGAGTGACACAAATAACCTCACTGCTCATGGCAGCTTCAAGTGATGTGAAGCACGGAGAACTGGATATTCTGATAGCATCCTGTAATTCTGCCCCCACCAGTGATGAAACATTCTGATGACCAAACATGCCTAGTAGGACTGCACGCTGTCTTCAACAGAAGGCACAAGAACGGGTGGGTAAAACCAAGGTGTGGCCCTGCACATTGCAAGGAGCCTATGTTCATCCTTCATAGTAACAGCT